CTGCACGCAAAACCGATGCATGACGAACGGAGTCATCAGTCCTAAGTGCTGGGCCTACAAGGAGAGAGTTATTAATGGGGTGGGGAGAGGGGGAAGAAAAAGTATGTGAAGGAGGCCCTTCGAACCAGTCTATATATCCCGAAATTTTCAAAGTTTTCTTAAGGAAATTTTTGAGTTTTTTCAAAGCTAATGATGCTGACGATGACGGTGTTAATTGGCTACGCCCGGCAGTTGTAGTCGGATTTGTTAGCTGTTGTCAGTGTATAGTAGGTAATTCCATGTTGGTACCTTTCTCAGAGGGTCATATATAAATGACTCAAAATGCATAAAACCCCTATCCAAGCAGGTTAGCTTTCGTCCTACAGCGTGGTGTCTTTGCTACCAGTTTCAAATCCTTTCGAGAGAAAACAGCTTTCCAATGTGAAATGGGCGGGCCTGTACACGATCCTGTTACGCTTTAGATTCGCTTTAGAAAAGCTCAGCCGGTTGGGACCTTTTACTCTCATTAGCACTCATCAGGTGCGGAATATGGGGTCGGTCGCATGGCCCTTTGGCTGCTTCGGCATCATTTGCTGGTGGGTTTAAGCGAATTATTATTCCCTTCGTAGGTTATCGGACTTTTCGTGGATGGTTGGATTGTTCATGGTATCCGGTTATCCATCCTTATAGATTGCTAGATAGACGGCATGCTATGGGTTTGGAGTTTTCCGAAGTTTTCGAACGAAGATGTAGTAGGTACCGTACAAGCTCGGCTGCACCTGGCCTTTGGCCTTAATGGTCCTCATTCATGGAACTTTTGATGGGTGTTTCAGGATCTACTATGGCATCGTTGGGCAATTACTCGCTTATTTATCTAGCATGAACAGCTGACTTTTGTAGCTGACTTCTTAAGTGACGAATAATCTGTTTGGAAGTGGTTCTAATAGTATACGAAGATCGGATTAGCAGCAGACGGTTGTAATGGTAAGTTAAACTCCGTTAGTTTCCTGCTAAAACGTGCTCCTATAACGTCACTCGTTTACCGGTTGAATATGCGAAGTAGCATCAGATTATCGTATATAGCTTTCCAGTGCGAAACTAGCCAAGTGCATTCGTCGTTATCTTCATCTTCTCCAGCCGTGGCTCACTAAATACTGTCCCTCTAAAATGACTTTGTTCCTTCCGACACATCATTTATTCATCATAGTTTTTGATGATGAAAATAATTTTAATGGTAATAGTACTACTATTATCATTTATTTTTGAAGAGCATGGTCACAAACATAAAAAGTGAGTGCAAGCGATGAATGCGAAAGAGTAACAGGAGAATATGGGAGAAAAGAGAGAAACGTCTCATTCGAAA